AAGGTGGTAAATAAGGGCAAAAATGCCAAAAAATGAAAGGTAGGGACGTTTTCCACAATAACCTCGAAAGGTAAGAATGTTTTTCGCCAATTACCCAATCTAGAACCTTACTAAAACCGTTGCAAATATATTGCTTATAATTGTTTCATTTCGTATCCTGCTGCAAATTATTTGAAACTTCAACTGAGGATCTTTATTGTGTATATATATGTGATTGTTAGAATCTTAGATGTGTAGAATTTTATAGATTTGATTTTTGATTGATTAAAGGATTTGGTTCCTATTTCCTAATTAGTCTATTATCCTATAATTTTAACACTTATTCTTTTACTCCTTATTCATTTCAGGGAATTTTGTAAGATAGTCAGGAGAATTTGCATCTATTCAAAGGAGGAAGTGAAGGAAATGAATCCAACGTTCAAAACTTCAAATTTCCATCTTTGTCTCTAGAAGGTGAAGGCACAATACCCAGAGCCAAAACCTGAAGCATAGAATTTGATCTGTTTATAGGGAAATAGGTAGCAGAAGTTAATGAAGTAAACCTTTTTGGAATTTTGGAAGTACTAAATACTTTGCTTGTGGAGTGTGTAGTTTTTATTTGATTCATAAGTTTTTAATCTGTAAAGTATGTAGACATCTTTTCTTAGTATGGAAAACTAATGATTTGTCTGAATTTCCTGTTTATATTTTTCTTGTCAGAAGGGGGATTAAAAAATGTAGCATTGTAGTTTCCTCATTTCTTTTAAGATTTACCCTCTTTTAATTGATCAAATAACTCAATTTTTGATTGATAAAAAGGCTTTGGTTCCTATTTCCTAAAGAGTAAAAGAATAAGTGTTTTCAGGCCACTGTTATTCTCCCTGCATCCCAGATTCCAGAAGCATAAATGGCTGAAAAGCCTGAAATAAAAGAAATGTTTATATAAAACAATGATTCTGTCTGTCACTTTGTTTGATAGTACATGATTAAAATTTATGATTAAAATAGAAGCACACGTTCCTTCACTCTATGATTAAAATCTTTAATTTATTTGAATTTTTATTTCAGTCTCGTGAGTTGTGATATTGGAATTTTCACAGGTGTAATTTCACAATTTTCGTCGAAATTCTAGTTCTCAGGTAAGCAATGTCTTGTTCTAACTTGTTATTGAAGAGATTGAAACTGTTTGAAGCATTGTCTGCTTATATAATTGCGGCCTGATCGACTTATATGATTGGTTATTGAAAGATGAACAATTGCACAGGTGCATATAGTAATTATATAGAAAACTGTGATTGTGGAATTTTTTATAATATATTTAGTTGTTGTTTTAATGTTAGTTTTTTAAGTTAGTAATGGGTCGCATAATACACTGTTAAATTTTGTATTTACATTGATTTCGTCCACCCGGGAGGGGGTGGGGGGGCTAATTTACGAACTTCCCCTCAGCCTGACAATCACAGGACCGACCTTGGCTTAGTATACTTCATTATTCTAAATAAAATCTGTGTCCTGACATGCATGATATACAATTCATTCCATATGTATTCCCAAAAGCAACATGTCCAATTTAAACCGTGCAGTTAAGTCTTAAAAATAAAATGGCATTCCAAAGTACGAATAATCAAATTTAAAACATTAATACCACTGTAAAACATTAGTTTTTTCCTAACAAAAACTGAAAGGAATAACCTTATTTGTTTTTCTTATAGCAAACTCCAGCCAGCACGTGCATCACCCTATACCATGTACTGTTTATTGCTTCTTCTAACTTGAATACTAACTTCTAAAGGTGGCTGAAATGAAGATTCACGAATTACACATCTAGCTGAATTAAAGCCGAATGGCTTACGCAAGGATGATTGATAATATTGCAATTATTCTCGATCTACAAGGAGAAATGAAAACATTTAGACTTCAATTGAGAATACTCAAACGTTCAGTTGACAGTGGGCAAGCCTAGCATGCGAGTGTTTACCTAAGCTCAGAATCCCGTAACTGCATACTTAAAGACGGGTGTGCAATCCAATGGAAGCCGAGAATTTCCTATCTGATGTGGAACAATACTTTCTTGCGACTACCTTTAAAGATGAAGCAAGAAAGGTGTCAACAGTTATCATATATTTGGGTGGAGTGCAAAACTATAGTGGCAGATAAAATATACTAATATTCAGGCTAACAGAGCCCATATAGATACCTTGGTATCATCTCGAGGAGGCGATTGAACCAAAGTTTTCTTCAAAAATGTAGAATATCAGGCTTGACGGTACTTCGAAATCTGAAGCATATAGGATCAATCGGGAAATAGGATAAAACCTTTTAACTACACATGGTAAATATTTGAGACATGTCAAAAATGATAAGCTCTTTATGTTCATTGAAGGGCTGGAATCGTGAATGCAAACTAAACTACAAAGATAAAAATTGGTTGATTTGAGCACTGTAATGGGATCAATTAACCTATAAAAGATCGACCACAAGGAAATAGCCACTCTAAAGGGAGAGAACCTTCAAGCCTGGCTAGAGCTCGAATTGGTAGAATTCTAATCCTACCATAAAGAAGGAGGCTGTCAAGATGGCCATCAGAGTAACTATCA